GGTGTGGAGCACGTGTGTGAGTTAGTGAATATAGTTCAAGTGGTCTTCAGGTCAGAAAATGGGAACAGCCACCTGCGACGACACATGACGTTGACGCAGCGAGCATTGGGAGTGGGAACAGAATTAATGGTCGTCCGCCACAATCCTGAGTTTTCAAACCTTTGAAGGAGTTCATCATCAGAGGTAAGCACAGCAATAAAAGGGGGAAATTATAGGCAGTATACTTCAATCAGCTTTCAGTGACACACGTCTGGACGTGACTGCACAGAACTCTGTACGCCGGTGCCAAATCAACGCATCGATTGACTGAGTTCCCATCTTTGGGCCCTCCTTCAATCGATTCTCTGCTCGTCTTGTTTTCGGTGTGGGCGAGTATCTTGACGGCTGCGAATTTGAACTCATGGCCCATTTCATGCGTGTGAGCAACAGCTTGCGATAATTCTTCGCCCCGCTGTACGGTCAGCCTGTGAGTGATCGGAAGCTCAGGCTAATAAACCAATTGTTCCGGTGTTCGACAAGCCTTCTCCTTTGCCCACAAGGGAGATTCTTTGGATGACTCTTTCTGGCTTATTAACCGTCGTCAGCCAGACTCCTTGTCTTTGCCGGCAATGTTATCTGCCTAGACTACTAGTTTCGATGCGGCTGCTGGAGGGGCTCGAGAATAAGTTCCAAGGCAGTGCGAAACCAGTAAGTTCCGTTAGCAACCGGTGAATGTTCATCAAAGAGTGTCAAATCGGGCGTACTTATCTCGCTGAGAGGATCATATCACTTGGCGCTGGAGCCCTATGACCGTTTGTTCATAGCTCAGAGGCTAGAGCTTTGAGTCTCGTCTCATATCTCTAACCGCTAATTGCCGGGCTGTGGCCAGCTGACGATGTTCCTTAATAGTCAAAAATTTGCCCTGACAGTGAAGCAACCTTAAGCCATTAGTTGTCTCTTCTCGATTCCAACTTTATTCGTACGCTATTTTTCGCCTTAACACAATTGCTTCGTTTCTGTTACAGCAAACTGCAACCACTACCCAGATGCTTTCATCCGAAACGCGTGAGAGGACCCGTCAGCTTATTAAACAACAGCAGTCCGCTAGTCAAGGCAGGTTAACACATATACCAAAGAAGACCCGCGTCACTATTTCGCCCGCTCGAAAGCCTCTTGAACAGGGTATTTGCCCATTGCAAACGACTGATTCGGGGACCACTAACGCTGTCCTCTTGGATCGGAATCCCACGGTCTGGAACCCCCCAACGGCAATCATTTAGGATTAGTTCATGCTTAATGCCATTTTGTTCTCTGTTTCATTTGTCTGCTGCATTTTGACTC